GAGGTCACTCAGGCTGCCCTTAACCGATGGCAAAGTGCCAATCGGGATGTCAAATGCATCATGTTGGCCACTATGTCTCCGGACCTTCAAAAGACTTTCTTTGAAAAGGAGACAACTTTTGAGATCATTTCAAAGCTCAAGAAAGGAGAGCCAGTCAGCCTGCATGTCCTCAAAATGATTGGATTATTTGAGAACATGGAAAGGCTTGATGTTGGGTACTCAACCGAGATGGCAATTGACATCATTCTCCACTCGCTTCGTAAAGGCTATGATCAGTTCAAGATGAACTATAATATGCATAGCATGGAGAAAAACCTCACCGAGCTTCATGGTATGTTGAAGCAAGCCGAGCAAATCCTCAATGATGAAGGCAAGCATGACATGCTCATGGTGAGGAAGGGCAAGCCTTTCAAACGTCCGGGCAAGAAGAAGAGCTTTAAAGGGAAAAAGAGAAATTTTCTGCCTAAGTCAAACACTGCCAAGGGCAGCAAGGACAAGAAGGTAGCCTCTTCCAAATCCGATTCTGAATGTTTCTATTGCAAGAAGAAGGGACATTAGAAACGGGATTGCCTCAAATTCAAGGAAGATAAGAAGAACGGCACCGTTGCTTCTTCATCAGGTATTTTTGTTATAGACTTAAACTTCGCTAGAAAAACATCATGGGTATTAGATACCGGATGTGACTCACACCTTTGTTCCAATGCTCAGGGACTAAAGATAAATAGGAGGCTAGAGAAGGGAGAGGTCGAGCTTCAGGTCGGCAATGGAGCTAGAATGTCTGTCGTCTCCGTTGGAACTCTGAGTTTGTCATTGCCCTCTGGGCTTATTTTAGAACTTGACAATTGTTATCATGTTCCTAGAGTTACCAAAAACATTATTTCAATATCAGCGTTGGACGCCAAAGGTTTTGAATTTCGAATTAAGAACAATAGGTGTTCATTTTATTTTGATAATGTTTTATATGGTAAGGCATATTCAGAAAATGGTCTTTATGTTCTTTCTCTTGACAAACAAGTCTATAACATTGATGATACAGCTAAAAAGGCTAAGACCATCGATTCGAATCAAACCTACTTGTGGCATTATCGTCTTGGCCATATTAACATCAAACGCATCAAGAAACTTCTACAAGAAGGTGTTCTTGACTCATTCGACTTGGAGTCGTTTGAAATTTGCGAAGGATGTTTATTATGCAAGATGATAAAACAGCCATTCTCCAAGTTGGGAGAAAGGGCAAGTGACTTATTAGGTCTAATACACACGGATGTATATGGATCAATGAGTGGATATGGCTATATCTACTTAATGTCGAATAAATCTGAATCCTTTGAGAAATTCAAAGAATTTCAGAAAGAAGTTGAAAATTAACTTGGCAAGAAAATTAAAGCACTTTGATCGGATCGAGGTGGCGAATATTTGATCCATGAATTCGACGATCACTTGAAAGAAAATGGTATTCTTTCAGAGTTGACACCTCCCGGAACTCCTCAATGGAACGGAGTGTCCAAACAGAGGAATCGAACCTTGTTAGACATGGTTCGATCAATGATGGGTCTTAGTGAACTTCCTATCTATTTCTGGGGACACACGCTACAAACCGCGGCACTAACACTAAACCGCGCTCCGTCAAAAGCTGTTGAAAAGACTCCATATGAATTATGGACTAAGAAACCTCCTAGGTTGTCTTTTCTCAAGATTTGGGGATGCGAAGCATATGTCAAGCAATTAATTTCGGACAAACTTCACCCCAAATCGGATAAGTGTTTCTTTGTGGGATATCCAAAAGAAACCAAATAAATCCGAGAACAAAGTGTTTGTTGCTCGTGATGGTGTCTTTTTGGAGAAGGAACACCTTTCCAAAATGACAAGTGAGAGGAAAATCGAACTCGACGAAGTTCGAGAGGACGTGCAATAATGTTAACCTGATAAAACTGACAATCTAGAAGCTTTGGAAGCATCTAAGAAGATTGGTTAGAATCAAACAAACAATGAAAATGCTCAACCGATTACCCTTCGTAGGTCGCAACGGCAAAGATCTCAACCAGACAGATACCTCGGTATCGTCTTAACCGATGATCAGGACATCCTAGTCATGGATGATGATGAGCCGGCGACATACAAGCAAGCTATGACGAGCCCCGACTATGCTAAATGGCAAGAAGCCATGAAATCCGAGATGGACTCCATGTCTGAAAATCAAGTTTGGGACTTGGTGAATTTGCCAGAGGGTTACACACCCATTGGTTACAAATGGATCTTCAAATTGAAGATAGACAAGGATGAAAATGTATCTATATACAAGGATAGACTGGTGGAAAAAGGTTATAGACAAATCCACGGGATTGACTATGATGAAACCTTTTCACCGGCTGCAATGCTAAAGTCTGTCCAGATTATTCTAGCGATTGCTACATATTACGATTATGAAATATGGCAGATGGATGTCAAAACCGCCTTCCTAAATGGGATTTTGGAAGAAACTGTGTACATGACACATCCAGAAGTTTTTGTCGATCCGAGCAACTCTGGAAAGGTTTGCAAGCTTAAGAAGTCCATTTATGGACTAAAGTAAGCCAACAGGAGTTAGAATCTGCGATTTGATGAAGCCATCAGTAAGTTTGGTTTTATCAAGAATCCAGATGAATCTTGTGTGTACAAGAAGGTCAGTGGGAGTGACATCGCATTCCTAGTCCTATATGTCGATGACATACTGCTCATTGGAAACAACACAAAATTACTAGAGTCCATAAAGGGCTGGTTCGGAAAGTGCTTTTCAATGAAGGACTTAGGAGAGGCACAGTACATATTGGGCATCAAGATCTACAGGGATAGATCTAAGAGGATGATTGGATTAAGCCAGAGTACTTACATTGATAAAGTACTGGCACGATTCAACATGGAAAATGCCAAGAGAGGGCATCTACCCATGTCCCATGGCGTAACTCTCAGGAAGAAACTGTGTCCACAGACACCTGTTGAGCGAGAGAGAATGGAATAGATTCCATATGCTTCGCTAATTGGGTCGATCATGTATGCCATGATATGTACCAGGCCAGATGTCTCGTATGCCTTGAGTGCTACGAGCCGATACCAATCAAACCCAGGAGAGGCGCATTGGACTGCGGCCAAGAATATCCTGAAGTACCTAAAAAGGAACAAGGATAAATTCCTGGTTTATGGTGGCCATAAAGACCTGGTTGTTGAAGGTTACACCGCCGCTAGCTTCCAGACTGACAGAGACGGTCAGGGTACATATTTTGCCTAAATGGAGGAGCATTTAGCTGGAAGAGTGCCAAGCAGAGCACAACCGCAGACTCTACAACTAAAGTTGAATACTTGGCTGCTTCAAAAGCTGCTAAGGATGCTGTTTGGATTCGTAAGTTCATCAGTGAACTTGGTGTTGTACCCTCCATCAAGGGTTCGATAGATCTCTACTGTGACAACAATGGAGCTATCGCTCAGGCCAGAGAGCCAAGAGAGCACCAGAAGGTCAAACATGTCCAAAGGCGATTTCACATGATAAGGGAATGGAAATCCGAAGGTGAAATCAGAATTTGCAAGATCGGCACGAATGATAATGTGGCCGATCCTTTGACTAAACCTTTGCCTCAAGTGAAACACAACAAGCACGTTGAGGCAATGGGAATCAAGCACATCGAAGATTGGCTTTGAAATTCCCTGTACATGTGTTTTAATTAAACTGGTTGTTTTAATGTAAGACACTGTATTGAAACCATTCATTAATGAAGTAATTAATTTTGTGCAAAAATTATCATTCGCTTCATTACTATTTAATTGTGGTTTATAATTAAATAATGAGTCCATTCGATTTATGGAAGTGAACATTGAATATTTAAATAAAAAATTATCCCTAATCGAGGTCATCTAAATAAAGGACGATTGATGACCACCAGAGATTAGTGTGTAATATGATTTACAGCACCGTTTCTTGTGCTGCAAGGACATGATGGTAATAAATCATTTGCACAGGTGCTAGTTTGGAACTGCACTGGATCGACCTATGAGAGTACTTTAAGAGATTCAAAATTGTCATAAGTACATTTCTCATTATAGCTATTGGAACTCGTTTCCTCGACCATGAGTATTGTGAAGTTTTCTTGTTTGAGAACTAGTCTCTTTGATGTTGCCTAACGTCTGCCGTAACTGGGGATCATAACGGGAACACTCGGGAGATTAGTTCCTCTTAGTAAGAGAAACTTACAATGCAAGACTGGGAATGTCCCCCTATTAACAATAGGGAATATGTCTTTGTTGTTTACAAGGCCGCTCGATGAGCGAGACTGTGAAAATGCAAGGCCATGCTCAGATGGATTTTAGAAATCATCTGCTTATTGACAGTCGAACTCGGAGATCTAGAAACACTTCTGAACGTAATAAGGATGACGATGAATCTTACCTTATAGTTCACGAAGAGACATTAAGCGACATAGGAAATGGTCTATACACTATATACACACTTGTCCGGAAGGACAAGTGGGAGATTGAAAGGAATGGTGTCCTTCCAACAAGTGTATTATTCTGATAGAGGGTTCAGAATTATTACAGAGCTAATTCTTCAGTAAGATCAAGTGATCGGAATGTCTAGGTGGAGGCCGCTTCCGATCAGTAATATCAAGGTACAATTGATAATACAGCTTAATCTTAACTGAACCCTTCGGGTCGAACCAAATCAAACAACCGAGCCGAGATGATGAATTAATCCGAAAGATTTAATGAGTCGTCGGAGTTTTACGAACAAAGACGTCGGATATCGAGCCTAGGGCGTCGAGACCGAGCGTCGCAAAATCACAAGCAACAAGTTCGAGCGTAGCCGTAGTATCACAGTGGCCTAGCCATGTGAACGCTAGGCTAACTCAAGCTAGCATGCACCTAGCATGGCTAGGCGCAAGCCTAGGCACTATCGCAACCCATCGCATCATCGCAACACAAGCACAACATTATTGCATGGCTAGGCCTGTGCGTGTGTGTGTAAGCATGCAATGACTGAAATTAAAGGGCAAGAGATTGAGGCCATGCAAGAATTTGGACTAAGACCTATGGAATCCTTTAACTACATGTCAAATAAAGCTGGAAGAGAAGATGCTATTGGTCATACAGTGAAAGACCACATGTATTATTGTTATAAACTGAAAATAAAGGCCGTTGAAGGAGGAGATTCTCAAGTAGTTTGTGACAAATTACATGAAGCTTATTCTGAGGACCCTAACTTGTTTTTCAGAGTAAGGTTGGACGCGGATGGAATGGTTTGTAACTTGTTTTGGAGGGATTCTATGGTGCTTAAAAATTACAAAATATATGGAGATGTCACTGTATTTGACACCACATATAGGACGAATCGTTACAACCTCAAGAAATAAACAAACACTGGAAGAACACTATGTTTGCTTGTTCTTTTATTGGTGATGAGACCATAGAGTCATTTGTGTGGCTATTTGAGACCTTTAAAAAGGCAATGGGTGGATAAATGTCCTATCTCACTGTTTACAGACCAAGATGCAGCCATGGCAGCAGAAATACCCAAGGTAATTTCTAATTTTGAAGGAACTTTTTGAATACTACTACATCTAAATATGTTTGTACTGAATTTATATTTAGTTACCTCTATTTTAAATGCAGTAACCATTTGTGAAACTATAATAAATGTATAAAAATGTACGGGTACTTCCAAACACTAGACAAAGACTATGTCTATGGCATTTGATTCAAAATGTTGTAACAAGATTTGGAGTTTTGAAGAGTGATGACACATTCAACTCTGCTTTCACGAAATGCTTGAGTGGTTGTATTAACGAAGCTGAGTTTGAAGTATGTTGGGATTCAATGACGACAAAGTACAAACTGAAAAACGACAGTTGGTTCAAGAGGTTATACTCACTAAAGCATAAGTGGTCAACATCTCTAAGTAAGGACTTTTTCTTCGCGGGAATCTTGTCGTCACAGAGAAGTGAGAGCACAAATCACGCAGTGAGATACAAAGCAAACAAGAAGACAAGTTTGACAGAATTCTACAACATATTTCAAAAGACAGTGAAGACTTGGAGAAGGAATGAGGATTTTTATGAGTTCAATAGCACAAAATCAATTCCTACTTCAAGTTATCCGATGTCTGCCTTACTTAAACATGCTGCTGATGTTTATACACATACATTATTCAGGGACTTTGAAGAAGAATTCAACCGTGCCATTGGATCTCAAACTAAACTGCTATTGATTAATGGAGGCAAAATGGTTTACCAAGTGTACCTTGAAGGCAGAGATTGCACAACTCAAGTAGTAACTTACGATCAAGCAAACAAAACAATTCAATGTCCATGCAAGAATTTTGAAGAGTCGGGTTGGTTATGCTTCCATAGCCTTAGAATCTTGCACATGCATTCTGTTGAAAAAATCCCACAGAAATACATATCTTTCATATGGACTAAAATGGCTAAGGTTGAAGTTTGTAAAAGTAAGGAGACAGAGCAAAAGAAGAAGGGGACATTAAACAACTTCACACCCTGGCGGCTACACAAGGTGAGGAAGTATTATAGTCTAATCCTTAAGAGCCACAAGTTTGAACAAGTAAGGAAAGCCTTAGAAGAAAGCTTCACAAAAGATTCAAGTGCAATAGATGAGATTATTTCTGCTATGAACTCAACTAACAACCATTTTGAGAACACTACAGGTGTAAAAGAGAATTCAGAAGCAACTTCATCTAGTGTTGTTCAAGTACTGGACCCAACTCATGCAAAAACTAAAGGAAGACAATAAAATAAAAGGATTCCAGGAAGCTATGACTACATGAAAAAGGGGAAGAGGAGGAAGCATAGAGAATTTAGTGCCAAAACACCAAATATTAATAATAAGTATATGCTCTAATAGTCTAAAGACATCAAATTTTGTTTTAAGAACACCAAATTTTGTCATAGTAACCTGTATTGTTACATGGTTACCTTTAATTTGTAATTTCATTTTTGGAAACTTTATATCTTTTAAATACTGATTATTATGATATAGTGTCTTTTATGATTGACATAGTGATAGGCGTGTCGTGTACCTAACAAAAATAACCTAACTAGACCACTACTATGTAGATGGGCAAGTAAGGATCGAATCCCAAGAGACTAAGGTTCACCTAAATTATCTAGACTCAAATAATCACTAAGCAAGAATCAAATCAATGGTGGAATATGTAGGGTTTCGTAGTGACCCGACACTACGCGGAAGGAAACCCACCAAGACCCGCCCCTTAATTAAAACAATTAACAAGCATATTAAACTTAATCAAACAAGATTAAGAACAAGAATTATACCTTTGACGCGTGCTTCGCTCCCAAAGAGCTCTTACTTTAAAATCCCAAAAACACGAGATCTCCGACAGATCGTACCCTCGACCCGACCCGAGCGTCCTAAGTCTTGAAGGTTAGTCAAGACCCGGACAAAATAACTATGAGTTTTACGAATCAAAGGTTTACTCTTACTTAGAGTTGCCTTTTTAATTCCACTCAAGGTTATTCATTCCCAAATACCCAAGCTTGGTATTTATAGGGAAATGATCCCTTGATTTCCAATCTCCCATCAATGTGGGAGAGTTGGTAAAATGATAATTATTTAATTCCAAAATTAAATGATTAATCAATTCAATCACAAATCGACACATGGCACAATAATAGAGAAAGCCAAGTGAGGAACAAGGCTTGGGGGGGACCATTGCCTTAATCCCCAAGGCCATGATTTGGTCCCCACACTCTATGCACAAAACCGGATCAAGGAAAGCTAGCTGGCTGCCAGCTAGCGTGCCAGCTAGGGCTGCCAGCTAGCACCGCCTTGCTGCCTAGCACCCAGCCAGCCAGCTAGTGCGTGCTGCTGCTGGGCTGCTGCTGCTGCTTGTGTGCTGGCGCTGGGCGCTGCTAGCACATAGTGCTGGCACTAGCCCCAGCAGCCCACGCACACTTCCTTTGCGCGCCATTCCTAGCACACCTAGCATGCGTGCTGCTAGTGAGCCACGCATGCTTGTCCTTCCCTCGCATCATCCTACGCACCACGCACGCAGCACCCCACGCATCCAGTCCCTCTCTCACGCAATGCCTAGCATGCGTGCTGCTAGCAAGCCACGCATGCTTGGCTCAACGCTGCTTGCTTGCTAGCTCGCTGTGATTGGTGCTGCCATGCGAAGGCACGCACACAAGCACACAGCTCCGTGCTGCTAGGCTACGGTGCACACGCACACGCATGTGCCTAGCACTGCGATGGTGTTGTACGTGGTGCTATGGTGCTGCGATAGCTTACCATGCGCACCCAGGCTAGCACGCTGCTAGCTGCGATGGGCTGTCTGGTGCTTGTGGTGCTTTGCGATAGGCTGCCATGTGCATGCATAGGCTGTGATGGTGCGCCTAGGATGCGATGGTGCGCCTTGAGCTTGCGATGGTGCGCCTTGAGCTTGCGATGGTGCGCCTAGCACACCTAGTGTGCTTAGGCTTGCGCCTAGCCATGCTAGGAGCATGCTAGCTCGAACTAGCCTAGCATCCACATGGTTAGACCATTGTGGTGCTACGGCTACACTCGTACTTGTCGCTTGTGATTTTGCGACGCTCGGTCTCGACGCCCTAGGCTCGATTTCCGACGTCTGTATTCGTAAAACTCTGCTTGGATCGGTGGTTCGATAGGGTTCGACCCAAATGGTTCAATTAAGATTAAGTTGTAACATCAATTGTACATTGATATTACTGATCGGAAGCGGCCTCCACCTAAGCATTCCGATCACTTGACCTTACTGAAGAATTAGCTCTGTAATAATTCTAAACCCTCTATCGGAAGAATACACTTGTTGGAAGGACACCATTCCTTTCAATCTCCCACTTGTCCTTCCAAACAAGTGTGCATACAATGTATAGCCCATTTCCTATGTCATTTAATGTTTCTTCGTGAACTATAAGGTAAGATTCTTTGCCATCCTTATTACGTTCAGAAGTGTTTCTCGATCTCCGAGTTCGACTGTCAATAAGCAGCACGGCCATGCATTTTCACAGTCTCGCTCTTCGAGCGGCCTTGTAAACAACAAAAAATTTTCCCTATTGTTAGTAGGGGGACAATCCCAGTCTTGTATTGTAAGTTCCTCTTACTAAGAGGACATAGTCTCCTGAGTGTTCCCGTTATGATCCCCAGTTACGGCAGACGTTTGGAAACATCAAAGAGTCTATTACTCTAACAAGAAAACTTCACAGTACTCATGGTCGGAGGAAACAAGTTCCGATAGTCATAATGAGAAATGTACTTATGACAAAATTTAAATTTTCTTAAAGTACTCTCATAGGTCTTATCCAATACAGTTCCAAACTGTGACTGTGCAAATGATTTATGACCGTCACGTCCTCGCAGCACAACAAACGGTTCTGTAAATCATACTACACACTAATCTATGGCGGTCATCAATCGTCCATCTGTTAGATGACCTCGATTAGGGATAATTTTCGATTTAAATATTCAATGTTCACTTATCAGGTGTTTCTTTATCCAAGACATGGTCTTGATACCCTGTTTTGAATATTTCCGTAAATCGAATGGACTTATTATTTAATTCTAAACCACAATTAAATAGTAATGGAGTGAATGATAATTTTGCACAAAAATTAATTACTCCATTAATGAATGGTTTTAATAAAGTGTCTTACATTAAATATCCTATTTAATTAAAACACATGTACAGGGAATTTCAAAGCCAGTCTCCAACATGTTTGATTCCCATCGCCTCAATGTGCTTGTTGTGTTTCACCTGAGGCAGCGGTTTAGTCAAAGGATCGGCTACATTATCATTCGTGCCAATCTTACAAATTCTGATTTCACCATCGGATTTCCATTCCCTTATCATGTGAAATCGCCTTTGCACGTATTTGACCTTCTGGTGCTCTCTCGGCTCCCTGGCCTGAGCGATAGCTCCATTGTTATCACAATAGAGGTCTATCGGCCCCTTGATTGAGGGTACAACACCAAGTTTGCTAATGAACTTGCGAATCCAAACAGCTTCCTTGGCAGCTTCTAAAGCGGCCAAGTACTCGGCTTCAGTTGTAGAGTCTACAGTGGTGCTCTGCTTGGAACTCTTCCAGCTAAACGCTCCTCCATTCAGACAGAATATGTACCCCGACTGTGCCTTGAAGTCGTCTCTGTCAGTTTAGAAGCTAGCGTCGGTGTAACCTTCAACAACCAGTTCTTTGTGTCCTCCATAGACCAGGAATTTATCCTTGTTCCTTTTCAGGTACTTAAGGATGTTCTTGGCCGCAGTCTAATGCACCTTTCCTGGGTTCGATTGGTATCGACTCGTTGCACTCAGGGCATACGATACATCTGGCCTTGTACATATCATGGAATACATGATCGATCCGATTAGTGAAGCATATGGGATCTGATTCATTCTTTCTCGCTCAAAAGTTGTCTGTGGACACTGTTTCTTGCTGAGAGTTACGCCATGGGACATGGGTAAATGCCCTCTTTTGGCATTCTCCTTGTGGAATCGAGCCAGTACCTTATCAATGTAAGTACTTTGGCTTAATCCAATCATCCTCTTAGATCTATCCCTATAGATCTTGATGCCCAATATGTACTGTGCCTCTCCTAAGTCCTTCATTGAAAAGCACTTTCCCAACCAGCCCTTTACGGACTCCAACAATTTTGTGTTGTTTCCAATGAGAAGTATGTCATCGACATACAGGACTAGGAATGCAATATTACTCCCACTGATCTTCTTGTATACACAAGATTCATCTGGATTCTTGATGAAACCAAACTTGCTAATGGCTTCATCAAATCGTAGATTCCAACTTCTGCTGGTTTGCTTTAGTCCATAAATGGACTTCTTCAGCTTGCAAACCTTTCCAGCGTTGCCTGGATCGACAAAACCTTCTGGCTGTGTCATATACGCAGTTTCTTCCAAAATTCCATTAAGGAAGGCGGTTTTGACATCCATTTTCCATATTTCATAATCGTAATATGCAGCAATCGCTAGGATGATCCGGACGGATTTTAGCATTGCAACTGGTGAAAAAGTTTCTGCATAGTCAATCCCGTGGACTTGTCTATAACCTTTTGCCACCCGTCTAGCTTTGTATATTGATACATTTCCATCCTTGTCTGTCTTCACTTTGAAGATCCATTTGCAACCAATGGGTGTATAACCTTCGGGCAAATTCACCAACTCCCAGACTTGATTTTCAGACATGGAGTCCATCTCGGATTTCATGGCCTCTTGCCATTTTGTAGAGTCGGGGCTCGTCACAGCTTGCTTGTATGTCGCCGGCTCATCATCATCCATGACAGGATGTCCTGATCATCGGTTAAGACGATACCGAGGTATCACTAGTAGAAAAAATCAAATAGACACCCGCCCTTTAGCACCGGTTCTTAAAAACCGATGCCAATAAAAACGGGCGGGATTGGAAAATAGGGAGTTGGCACCGGTTCCAACCAAAACCGGTGCCAACTCATTTAATTAGCACCAGTTCAAACCGGTGCCAACCTTTAAAAAAAAAAAAAAAAAAAGCAATAGAGTTGGCACCGGTTCGCCTTAAACCGGTGCCATTTATAGTAATATAAAAAAACCGGGCTGCTTAATTTTCTTCTTCTTTCTTTCCTTGTTCTGTACTTTTGATTTCCTCTCATTTTCGCCTTCGTTCTCTATCCAGAATCCCAAATTTTCACCTTCTCCATTGAAGTGGTTGCCCTAGCTTTCTTACTCCATTGAAGCAACACCTCCGCCTTCTCACTCCATTGAAGCAGTA